TTTGGAGGAAGTTGCCATTTCAGTAATTGGTGAAGTGAAGAAAGGCAAGGTAAGAGATGAAGGCGCAGGGATGAAGACAAGAGCTCAAGGAAGAGGATGAAGTTGCAAAAGGTAAAGGTTCGCGTAAAAACCAGAGAAAGACCGATGGAGAGGTTAAGGGGAAAATCACCTAGGGAGCTGGAAACGACGGAAGCGAAAGACAATTAATGTGGCTTGTACTGTAGGGCAGCAGACTGACGAGACAACGACATAAAGCAAAAAAGAAACCCAAAACCCTTTAAACCCTAGAACCCCAGGAACCCTAAACCCTAAGTTCTATGGGCCTCCAAACACTAAGGCGGGAATCGTGTTGAAAGAATATAAACAGAAACTATTTATATTCTTCCAAGGGGGCATTTTGTTAGGAGGAAATCGAGAAAAGCGATCGAGAAATGAAAGAAATAAAAATCGAGAAACATGTGATCGATCGATAACGCGAAGAGGTGAATGAGAAATCATTCGATGTCCAATTAGAAGGGCGTGGCACACAAAATCGAAAGATTAGAGTAGGAATCAAAGGAACAATAGTTAAAAGTTTATTGTGGAACAAACCAAGAAATTAGAAGTATATGACGTTAAGGCTAAAAAGAACCAAAAGTAATTCAAAGTTCTCGATAAAATCGAAATCAAGGGGAAGACTAACCTACGTGAATATCAAAACCCTGGCCAAATTGTGAAGAGAAGAACAGTCAAGCACATATACGGGAAGCAGTTTCTAAATCATGGTAGAAGTTGAAGATCGTGAGAACGTGGGTACAGTATTGAAACCATAGAAGATAAACTGCAACACGCACGTAGAACGTGGTAGCAGTTTTGTTAACTGCTCCTGGAAGGTTTGAATGATACCCTATAAATAGAGCAAAAGAGGAAGGAATGAGCGAGCAGAAAATTGGCGAGAGCAGAATTAGTAGTGAGAAGTCTACCGGAACATGACGAACACCATGAAGCTTCGACAATCTGGATTTCCATGCTCATCGAGTACCTTTACCGCTTTCTTTACTTTCCTTGGTAATTTATTTTGATGCACCTTATATTCAAGCAATTTTATGTTTTTGTTCTTTCGATTCCTTGTCATTTCAATTCAATGAAAGTTAAGTTTCCGCGTTTTAAGTTTCCTTGTCCTTTAACATTGATGCAATTTCGATTTCCAAGTATATTTTCTCGCAATCTTGATTCCTTGCCATTTACATTTCCGTTCTTTCGATTCCTTGTCATTTACATTTAACATATTTTTAAGGTTTCTGCATTTTACGGGTTTCAGCAATTTAGTATCCCGTATTGTTTTTCGATTCGACGTTTTATTGATTTCACGCATCTTAAATACAAAACACCAAAAAGTAGCATTTTCGATACTAGGTAAGGTTCGATCCTCATACGCATTTCGATTGAAAATTAATTTGCTAGCCTAAATAAAAAGATCTTACGTGGTAGAATTTTGGTTAGTATCAAAACATATCGGGGGTTGAAATCAATCGAAATTCCACCAGAAACAATAATAAACACAAATAAACTCACTCAACTTGAATATATTCTCCATCAAAATTTTTATTATCTATATTTTAAAAAGAATAGTATCAATCAAACAAAAATATTATTGTCATTTTGATTTTGAAATTATTTTCATTTTGATAATCTAAATAATAAATAAAAAAACTAAAAATTTATAAATTATAAAACTGAAACTTTACGTCTAATTAAAAAACATAAATACTATTAAATTTTCCTTATCACCATTTTATTACGTGAAAGAATATCATCGATAATATATATATATATATATATATATATATACGTATTATCCTAAGTGTAGATTATCTCCGTCCGTCCACGTATCTTACTGGGATTGCGATACGTGATTTCCATTATCCTATGTGGCTAAATAATAATCTCGTGCGAAAATTTGGACCCAAAACACACACCACACACTCTTCTTAGCAACAATACACGTGGAGCTGTCGCTAGAATTCATGGATTTGGTCTAAATTGCAAACAAGAATAGTTGCTGTTTCTTTTTCAATTCGAAAAGTGGGTGCTTTAGGGTTTGAGATTGAGGATCCTAACATCACCCCTCCAAAAATTTGATGACAGAGATTGTGATTGTGATGTAGATTAGGCCAGAGAGGTAACAATGGTGGGACAAAGGTCTGCTAATCATGCTACTTCATGGTCAATTTTGATATTGGAGAAATTTGAAAGCAAAAAAAAAAATGGATTTTTATGTTTGCTAATTGGGAGTTTGAACATTAGATTTTACTCTAACCAATTATATAAGTTTTGACGGGGCCAATACTTCAATTTTAATTATGGTGAAATGTATCAAGACCTCATTTTTAATTAAAAGTCTTTAGTTTTTTACACGTCAAATTGAATAAAATAACTGATTTTACGATTAGAGAAAGAGATAACTCGAGTTTTTAGGTGTTGATCATAAATTTGACATGTAAACAAATGAATCAAATATAAGAAATCAATGAGTGAATCGTATTGATTAATTTAATCATTCTGTGGTCCAATTTTTGAAAAATAATCTTAAAGTAGTTGTTTTTATTTTTATTTTTTTCAATTCAACTATTCTTCATTTAAAAGTTAAAAACTATTTTTTCTTCCTATTACATAAAAACTCTTTTCATTTTTTTTTTCTAAATTTTTTTGTAGAGAAGTTTGTGGAAACACACCTTTAATATTATAACTAAGAACTTAAAGTAAGTTATTTTTGGTAGAGATACAAAACTATAATTGAATTAATTATAATTGTTATAAATGACTTAAAAAGAAATATATGAATTAAGAATTTCCACAACTAATAAGGTATCTGTGAATATAACGTATGTTTTTAACAAAAAAATATTTTTTTTATACTTTATATCATATGCACTATAGAGATACATGCTATTCCACGAAATAATAGCGTATTAATTAAGATGAGGTTAAAGATAATATAAATAAATAAGAATCCTAGTATACGAGATAATTATTTATTTATTATTAATATTTTTTATATAAGTATTCCTTGATTGATTTGATTGTGGGAATATTTTCTGTTCGTACACCGTGAATATCTAAAAACATATAATTTACACGAAAAGAAGACATCCAAAAGTACTTAAAAGTTGGATAATGTGATGTTATAAAAGTTACCAGTCTTGCAAGAATATGCTCCATCTAAAACCACTCCAAATAATTGTTATATTCTTTCAGCAATAAATATAATTAAAAAGAAAAAAATACTCTCTTTATTTCAAAAATATATAATATTTGTTTCTAAATATATGATATTTATAAAATTTAATATTACATTAATTATTTTTTACCAACTATACATCTTTCTCTTTAATTATATTTATTATATAAAAAAAATTACTTAATATTTTGATTGAAAAGAACATTAAGATGATTAAAGTATCAACGGAAAAAAATTTAATAAATTTATTAAAAAAATTAATATTTATTTTAATAAGTGTAATCTAACTTTAGATGTCATATATTTTTTGAAAAAAAATTACACTTATTTTGAAATATCAAATTATTTGATTTGAAATATAGAAAATATATTATTAAGGTGATTATAAAAGAATGTGTGATAAAACTTAAAAGAGAATGAAGATTTTAAAGGTTTTTTAGGTTAATAAAAAAATAATAAATATAAACAATACAACCATAATAATATTATTTTTATTATATGAGTTTTTTTATAATATTTATTGAAAGACTTAAGATATGTCGGTAATATTATTATCGTATAAATCATATTTCACCTAAGATTTGTTGAAACATATTTACATATATTAATTTTTTATTGTGTATTGCCAAGTAAAATAATAATAAAATCATTATGTTAACCGTCAATGCTTTGGAGACAAATATTTCATATTATTAACCAATCACGATAAATTAATTAATTTTTTTAATAACTATTTAAAAGTTATTTTAATTTAATCACAGTTATAATATATATATATATATATATATATAATGTTAAAATAAATGATTAAAAAATATATAAATAAAATTCTTATGTATATTATGGTTAACAGAATATTAAATATATTTAGATATAATATAAAAAAAACCTAGAACATAGTTATTTCTCTCATAAACTTTTTATACTTATTTAATATATATATATATATATATATATATATACATATATATATATATATATATATATATATATATATATATATATATTATCATGTGTGACCTTGTGGTTTTATTAAGTTTTTGTAGGAGTACTTTTAAAAAATTAAAATAAAAGGAGAAAAGTTATATAAATATTTTACAAGTTGAAATTACATTATGTAACTAATCTAAAGAAATTCTTTAATATATTTTTTTCCTAAATTTTAATAGTTTATAATTTAAACAATTTAAAATATTTTTGTAATATTATTTATAATTTTATTAAATAATTACTTTAAATTTAATTATCTTCAATTTATATGTATTCTTAATAAATATTAGAGTAATTCATCATATTATCTAATTAATTTATTTTATTCTTATTAGATTTGATCAATCAAATTAATTACAAAAAATTTCTTTACTTTTTGAATATCCTCCTCCGTCTAAATAATATATATATATATATATATATATATATATATATATATATATATATATATATTAAAGTCATTAGTCTTAAATCAATTATATGTTGAGAAATTAGAGATAGAGAATATTATAACACGTAGAAAATACAATCTTTATCATACCAAATTAATTTTATAAAATTGAGTTAATATCATAGTCACTCCAATAATATTATAAATTTGTGAATGTATATATTTTATAATAACCATCAATAATCTAATTGGAAATGGATGAGTTGTATTAATAATTTCACGGGTCAAAGATGAGTTCTCGCTATGGATTTCATCTTCAAATAAAGGTAAGGGCCAGAATGTACAAGTGGCTTTGGATGGTGTACATAATTGTGAAAACACCAAGCCAAAAAAATATATTCATGTCTTTGGGCAGGTAGTTATATCTACATTTCTGGCTACCATTCGTCGTTGGGAAGCATTTGGACATGCTTCCAAGCATGGCTCCTTCGGGATGGTATCATCTTGTGGGGGAAGAACTCCGAATTTGAACTGCACTTTTAAAAGACAAGAGAGTAATGACAAGTACAAGTTGGTCTCCAATAAAGATTAATTAATATTACCTGACAGCTGTAATCACCAAAGTTAGGCTCCATAAGTAATGGAACTCCCATATGATCCTTGAAGAAGGTCTAAACTACACAGAAAAGAGTAATATAAAGTCATCCAGAGAAAGCAAAAACTTCGAAGCATGCATAACATGTTTACCTCTTTTCGTTGTAACCTAAAAAAATAAGCAAGTGTTTTGAAGAATCACTAACCTGTGTCGGAAACTTACAGGTGTTGGTGCAAATACCAACACACTTGCTTTCCTCCAGATACCTGCATCTTTCCACATACACCTACAAGATTTACAAATACACTGCTTTGAATATTACAGGATTTTTTGGCATTGTTGTAACAGCACTCAAACACGATCAAACACATGGAAAAGTTCAAGTGATCACCCCACTACTGCACGAGGTTCCATCTGGTAGATCGACAGAATTCACTTTGCACGTGCCCATGAGCCATTGACAAGTCAGTACAGTAACCCTTGCTTCAAAACCAAAACGTTTAAGGATATGTAAACAAGTTTCTCTGCCATATTAAGGGGAACATCAGGCAGGAATAAAGATTTGGTATTCATCTAGAAGAATTGAAAAATTAAATATATTTTATCAGACTCACCAACCATCATAGCCGCAATTTTGCCTCCTCCTATGGGAGCTATGAGCATTTTATAGAGCTCCAAAAGATATGGAGGGAACAGAGACCTCAATATTCGTACCTGACACAAGTCACAACAGCTAGTGAACTTACTTTCAGACAATATGATCATTCAAAATTTAAAATAAACCGTAGAGATTAAACATGACCTCAATTTCTAATCAACTTTTAATACCAAATTAGCTGAAAACAAAATCACATTACCTAATAAGTTTTTTAGGTTTTATTTGAGCCAAGAACTTTTACTGTCTTTCAACTTTATTTGAAACGATTTTATCAACCAATATCTGTTATAACATCTCCAACAGTTCAAATACACTGGAATTACCCAACTCACTTTTTTGGGTGAGTCCGCAATGCCATGTGAAATTTAAGTAAAATTCTTAAAAACGTCCTGCAATTCTCTGAAAAATATTAAGAACTCCGATAAGAACATTGCTTACATAAACAATTTCTTATATAAGAATTGTCACGTCAATTGTCAATTGCTTGAATGGTAAAACTGCACAAAAACTTACTAAGTTTAAGAACTCCATAAACATCTCCTATTCGAGATGATTAAACTAATTAACTTGGCTCTCTCATGTTATACACTATCACATCTTAAAGGAGCCAAATACTAATACAATTATAGTTCTAAGTAGCCAAACAGTTTGAGAAAAACGATATAGCATATAAGAAAGTTTCTGAAAAGCGGTAATTGAGAACGAGAGAGAGAGAGAAATAAATGGAAATACCGCTGCTTCCACGGTATTAGAATTGGAAGTGCCCTTCATCATTAGACGATTCACAACTTCAATTAGTCCATCATATCCAGGTTTCTTCGAGTCCCACCCAACCTCCTGTTACACTTTCCCAATCACTCAACTACAACGATAAATTAACCATCAAATGAGGAAAAAAGTCTACAAGGTTTTCTTTACCTGGACCAATTTGTTGCGGAACAAATTGAGAAACAAGTCATCAAACACCCCAGGCTTGTATTCAGGTTTCGGAGCTGCAATTCCCCCTTGTTCCACCTTGATTCAATTCATGAATATGAATATCGTGCATTGCCCGAAGCGAATTTGTAGCATGAATATGAAACACAAAAGAGAAGATACGCACCGTTTTGGAACCCAACGACGAAGACGAAGAAGAAGAAGAAAAGGAGACGCGAAACCGATGGTTCCGAACACTCGAACACAGCACGGGCAATGGGGCCGCACCAATGACACTGCCTAGCGCCTTCATTTCTCTCTAACCGTAACGAAATTATCAACCCACTCTTCAGTTAAAAAAAAAAAATTGTTACCGGTTACCGGTTATTTCAAGTAAAACTCAAAACGACCCCGCGTGGCGCGTTTTGATAAACCCTATTAAAACCCTTAAGGAATCAATCAACAAAAAAAAACAAAGAGCACCCACGCCGGCTGTGCACGATCCAGATCACGGAGATGAATCACTCCCGTCTGATTTCCGGCGGAGGATGGCTGCTTCGGCGACTGTGCACGGAGACTCAGAGTCCAGCGAAAAAGGAAAACCTCTATCGAATGTTATCGGCGCTGGACATGACTGGAGGTAGCGTGTTGGAAACTTTGGACAACTATATAAAGCAAGGCAAAGCCATAAGAAAAACGGAACTCGAAAGATGCGTGGAGCAGCTCCGAAAGTATCGCCAATTCCAGCATGCACTCGAGGTAGCAAATATCAATTTGTAAATTTTTTACAGTTTTCCGTAATTTTTATATATGTTGAAATTTATAATTTATAATGGTTGCAGATAATAGAATGGATGGAGATGAGGAAAATTAACTTTTCCTGGAATAATTATGCAGTACAATTAGATCTCGTATCCAAGACCAAGGGGGTGGTTGCGGCTGAGAAATTTTTCAGTGGTCTTCCTCCTCCAGCCAAGAACAAGTATACGTATGGTGCTCTCTTGAACTGTTACTGCAAGGAAATGATGAAAGACAAGGCGTTGAGTCATTTTGAAAAAATGGATGAATTGGGTTATGTCACTTCTCTGGCTTTCAACAATTTGATGAGTCTGTATATGAGAATTGGTGAACCCCAGAAAGTGCCTGAACTGGTGGCGCTAATGAAGAGTAGAAGCGTTCCCTTTTCTTCATTCACGTATCATGTCTGGATGAACAGCTGCGCCTATTCGAACGATCTTGATGGGGTGGAGAGAGTCTATGAGGAGATGAAAACTAAAGATAAGGATAAAATTGGTTGGCAGACTTACAGCAACCTTGCTGCTATTTATGTAAAGGTTAAGGACTTTGAGAAGGCTGAAAGGATGCTTAAGATGCTGGAGAAACAAGTGAAGCCGCGGCAGCGTGATGCTTACCATTGCTTGCTTGGCCTTTATGCTGGGACTGGTAATCTTGAAGAAGTTCATAGAGTGTGGAATTCCCTCAAGTCTGTGTCCCCTGTGACCAATTTTAGCTATCTTGTTGTGCTTAGTACCCTCCGAAGGCTTAATGATATAGAGGGCTTAACAAAATGCTTTAAGGAGTGGGAAGCTAGTTGTGTGAGCTATGATGTGAGGTTAGTTGGTGTCTGTGTTAGTGCTTACTTGGGTCAGAACATGGTGGAAGAAGCTGCATTGGTGTTTGAGGGGGCTAGCAGGAGGAGCAAGGAGCCTTTGTTCAGGATTGAGGAAATGTTCATGATATATTTCTTGGAGAAACGTCAGTTGGATGCTGCTGTTAGGCACTTGAAGTCGGCGTTTTCAGAAGTCAAGGGTGATACTGAATGGCATCCTTCACCACGAGTTGCTGGGGCTTTTCTGAAGTACTACGAAGAAGAGACGGATGTGGATGCTGTTGATGAGTTGTGCAAGATTCTCAAGGCTAACAAGTTTGATGATTCCTGGACTAAAACTTGGATTGATGCGTTCAAATCGTCTGCTGAAACTGATCCAAGATTGAAGGAAGATGATCCTCAAGACTACCATGCGCAAGAGAACTACACATCGTGAAAAAACAATTATCTGCAGCATGTAGGTGCAGTTTATGAAGCAAGTGTTTGGCAGTTATTTTGGTTTTCATAAAATTAGAAACAGTCTTTCAAAATCGTTTGGAATTTAGTACTTCACTTCGGAAATATCTCTCGTGTCACAATTTCTGCAAAGTCTTTTATTCTTAGCCTTTATTTTACAACTAGAGCTAAGGTTAACGTTAACCTGATAGGGAGGCAGAGGTTCAGCACCTTTTATGTTTGCTTCGTAATTTTTGAAAGGGTATTTAACTTACGGATGCCATCGATGTGGCTTCTCTCATTTTAAGAAAATGATATGGAATTATTCAATCACAGGCACAATATCTATTTAGATTGAATCAAGGTGAAATTTTATTTTAGTAACTAATTATAGCTTTATATTAATTATATAATTTTATCTTTTATTGTATAAAGAGATATTTTTTATAACCCCGTTTTGTATTATTTTTTTAATTATAGATAATTCTATCTTTACTAAATTAAAGTAATTTATTATTTGATTAATTTTTTAATTGTACAATCTCTCTTCTCAAAAGTAATCGTATAAGCCCTCGTCTTAAAACTAATCCCCTCAAACGTCAATCATTTGAATGTGATTTTCTCAAACTATTCCATCCTTTTATTTTTTTCACAAAATCCTTTTGAAACTATTACTACAAATTATCTATTTTATAAAATATTTTTTAAAAATGTTATTTTAACAAAACTATGTACTAAAGTTGATATAAAAACAACTCGACTATACTTCAGACGCAAACATTATGTGAGCAATCTACAAGTACATATACATTTATGTCGCTAGTACGTCTGGTAGTTTCTTTGATAAATATACAGTTTCTAATTTCCATTATGCAATTGCAACCTTAATAAGGTAAGGATCATTATATTCAATGATATCACTTTTCTCTCATCAATATTGTCATATCAATTTGGCTGTCCTTTTGTGTGAATTTTGTACTGAATATCACTTAATCGATTAGTTGAAATGAAAATAGACTACAAGTCCAGGTAAACTTTGTCTGAAATGTTATAAATTCAAATTCTGAAGCTGTTACCTAAAGAAGAATTTTACCTAACCATCACTTTCAACAAAATAACAACAGTTGTGCCTATCAGGATACCTGACCATGTGTACCAAAAAGGAAGGAGCCATGCTTTCAATTTGTCTCAATTTACTTGTATTTATACTCAAAATCTTCCTCTCCCGTTGGTCGGATTCCAATTGAAGGAAGTTCCATTTGTACTGAATGAATGCTGAAAACTGAAAAGCAAACGGTACTGCAATTGCAACAACTAAGCCGAAGAGGATGGAACTCCATAATGCTGATAATGAAATAATACTTTTTAGACACTACTTAAAATAACTAAAGTAATGCTTCAGTTACTATTAAAAAATAGAGCAAAGAGAAAGCACTACACAGTACAAACCTATCTAGTACAAACGTAATGAATAGTACAATCCCAAACTCAAGTTGACGGTTCAATATTTAAAGGTTGTCATTCCCTAACGGTGTAAAGTAGACATGGGGATTGAACTGTCGTTCCCTAACGGTGTAAAGGAGACATGGGGACTGAACACCCTATAGCTCACAAACACAGACACACAAAGTGCTGCTACTGATAATATAACGGAAAAGGCACTAGCCACATTCCACGAGCTACTAGCTGCATCAACTGACTTGCCACTCAAAGAACCGCCAACAGATATGTCAATGGGAACCCAATCACAGTTAACAGAGTAGTGTCCAGAACCATGCCATGGCTGACCATCTACTGGATACCAGAATGCAACAGACATCTTACTGGATCCACCGATGTTAAATTGCACGTCCTGCAAGGTATTATTTTGCATCATTTTTCTTGCTAGTTATTTTATAAATGAAGTTCGGGAATACAGATACTACTCCGCACAGCATGATTAAAACAAAAATACATTTGGCTTCCACTTACTTAAGCTACAAAATGGGTTTTTGGCTAGTAAGAAACTAAAATAAAAACACGTGATGGCAGAACAAAAACCACATGATTCAGAAGAATTCCTTCAATCACATTATATTTGAAAAGATCTTTTTCATCATTGCTCTCACCCCTAACAAAACCAAAAAGTGAGGCAGTGATCTTAATCTGTTTTGTTTTAGATTTTGGCTATAGCCAATAAACATTTATTAAGAAGGCAAGTTTGTATTGTGAAGGTAAAACAAACAATACAGTATAAGAAATCTTATCCAAAGCCAAAATTGTTTCAACAAGAATACAGAATAAAGATCTAATGAAAAAGTATTGTCTATCTCATGACCTGGGATACACTTTGCCAGCAGTGATCAAATTTGATAATAATAAGTTCATATGTTTTCCATCCACAACCGTTTATTAGATTTACAAAAGGCTCCAAAGATTGAATGAGAAAGAACTTGCAAACAAATAATTGAGCTGATTGGAAAAAAGAATAATAAATCATTGCAAACTCTTAGCAAATAAAAGTTGTGAATGTCATACTACTTTCTATGTTCTAACCTGTTGAAGATGATCCATAGTCCTCAAAGGCCTGGAGAATTCAAAAAAGTATGTGCCCTTTTTTCCATTATCTGAATACGGACTCTCATCTTCTACGAAACCTATTATAGACAAGCATGTGAGTATCAATATAGAGAAAAAAAGAAAAAAAGAAAGAAAAAAAAAAACAAAGATGCCGAGTAACTAATTGACAGGGTAAAACAAAGCATAGATGTCAGATTAAAGGAACTGTAATTGAGTCAGATATTCTTACATGAGGTTACAACCTGTATTATTAAAAAAACAGCTCGACCCAACAAATCACATGCTGTGATTGAATTGGTCTGAACCATCGTGAACTACTATGTGGTTAACAATTTTTACCGGTCTGTTAATTTTTTATCTGTAAATGAATCAGTCACCTGAGTGAACCGTAAAGCTGCTATGCCACCAGGCACCCTTCCAGTCATTCTGCGCACTAGAGTCATTAGCTGACAACAGAAAGAATGTCAGTCTATTTACCTTTCATGATAAAATAAAAGTTAGAAGATTACCAAGTATCAACAAATGATGGGTTGATAACCAGATTATATGATAACCCACAACATTCCAAGTCATAATACATAAAGAAAAAATTAATTGCCTAGAGGAAGTGTCTTTCCTTTCAGAATTTTAACTCTTTGAAACGAGATGCATTATCATTCTATTCAATTCTTATGAAGTAAAAGTAATAGACATTTTATTGTAATACTCAAACCATAAACTTTAATATACCAACAAAATGTATAAACAATTCTCTGCAAAAAATCTACTGACATAAATTTAATTTATGATTCTCATAGAGATTAAATTTAAATGTTACTTGGTGAAGTAATGAGCTGTACGACTTGAGTATAGAGCTAAAAGATCTAGAGTCGCAGCATCAATACCTATATAGAGTGTTTAATGAGGAAGAGTGCTCGTATTTTCTGGAACAGATATAGACATGGATAAAGAAGCCAGTTCAGAGGTTTTTGCTGTCTGAAATATTGGTACGTTGACAGGTAAATTTATGAAGGTGGTAGACACCACGATTCAAAATAGGATTAACATTATGTACCTACCAAAGTCCGAATGGGTTAGAGAAAATTTAAAAGAGTTAGGTACTGAAGGATTTAAAATTTGGTATACAGGGAAAATTAGAGAGAATAATAGTGTGAGTATTGTTGTGGACAAGAATTTGAAAGAGAGGCTGGAGAATGTAAAAAGAATTGAAGCCAAAGTTCAACCTTAAAACTATTGGTTGCATTGGAGGCCAATATACTCGTTACTTATGCACCACAATTAGGATCTGAAGCATTGGTTGAACAAAAGGTTTGGAAAGATTTGGTGGGATTGGATCAAGGCAATTACACAAAAAGATTTTGTTAGGAAGGCATCTAAATGGACAGAAGTGAGGCAAGACAATTTACAAGAGTCCATGTGGTTCTAGGTTTAGAGAACTAAATAAGGAATGACAGCTTATTCTTGATTTGTTTATAACTTAAGATTTAAAAAGTATGACCACTTGTTTCAAGGAGGGGAAGGAACATCAAATCAGTTTTAGGAGGGGAAGTTCAAGGTTACAAATTGATTTTTTTGGGGTAGAAGTGTTGATAAAAAGAGACCCTGAAAAGTATGGATGATACTTGAGTTGTTGGTCTAGACAGTATTCCTATTATGTGTTTCAATCTCACATTGAGTAGTGTCAGATGCTTGATGGAATACTAAAGTGTTTGGTTTTCCCCTCTTAATAGCTAGCTTTTGATGTCGGTTCCTCAAATGTTGTAATGTTATCAATTGGTATGAGAGTTGGTTGTCGGTATCTTTAAAAGGACTACTAACATATGGGTTTTAACTGGTTGAGGGTTTTAAACAATGGGAAGTTATAAAGACATCAAAATTGGTATCAAAGGTAGATGGTTTTAAACAATGGGGAAGTTGAGTGATGTATCAATAAGTGAAATGTCATTGAGTGAAAGACATCGAAATGTCAACACTTACTAGTGGTGCTATGCTAGAGACTTACATCAAAGTATTTGATTCTCCTCCTTGATAGTTTAGCTTTTGAGTGTAGCTTGCTCAACTTTTTGAGATCTAAGATGTCAATTAAGTGGTGGAAAAGCACTTTAGTTCTTAAATTCAAGAACAAGAGAAATATGCAAGACTAGGTTAACTACAAAGGTATAAAACTTATGAGTCACACTCAGAAATTATGGAAAAGGTGGTTATGCGGAGATTTAGGAAAAGAGACATGGATTATAGAGAACAAATTTTGTTTTACAATAGGAAGGTTTACAAAGAAAATCATTTATATTTAAGGAGGTATACGGAAAGGTACTGAAGTAAAGAGGGTTCCATATCTGTTGTATTGACTTCAAAAAAACCTATGATAGAGTGTCATGAGAAGTACTAGGAAGGTTTACAGTAGAAGCCCTTTATATTTTAGGAGGTATATGAAAAGATACTGAAGTAGAGAGACTTACAAATAAGTTTTATTGACTTCAAAAAAACTTACGATCGAGTGTCAAGAGAAATGTAGTGAATGACTTAAGAAAAGAAAAATGGTTTTGTGACTTAAATCAAAACTATATAAGAAATGTATGATATGATAACTACCAATATGAGATATACACAAGGCAATATTAAGGACTTCGATGGGGATAGGACAACAACAACGCTCTACCATAAGTCCTTTTCTGTTTTACTTATTGGTATGCATCAACACCAGCGCAAGCAGTCAACTTTCATACTACTTAACGGGGAATTTGAGCAAATAAAACATTGGAAAGATCTTCATCAATTGGCCACAAGTTAACTACTCAAGTGAACTTGATACCACATTCAATCTATTAGTCAAAGTATTAGAATTGCATTTTTTTTCATTTATATCATACTTGTTCATTCCTATTCAATGCAAGACTTATATTTATACTTGTTCAAATAATGTTTTTGTTTTTTAGTTTTTAAAAACTAAAAAATGAAAACCGATGAAATATGTTTTCTGTTTTTATTAACGGTATCTACGTTCCTACCGGTGGTTGTACTACATTCCTGGCCTTTGTAGCAATAAGTTGTCGAAGTCATCCTCTAACTTCCTCAGCAACTTTTCATCATCATCATTGATGTTATCCACTTTCATTTAAAAGGGTTTTCAAACTAAATTTTTTATTTTTTTTACTTATTCACAAAAATAATTCTTCAAAATTTATTACTAAAACTATTTTTAAAATCTAAAAAACGAAAACCGATGAAATATGTATCTGTTGCATTGATGATATCTATGTTTCCAGTAACGATTGTACTACATTATCCACCTTCTTGCTATGATGTTGTCGAAGTCACCCTCCAATGTCCTCCGTAACCTTTCGCCATCGTTTAAAATTTAAACTAAAGTCATCAAACAAGATTTTTTTTTTTTTTTACTTTTTCTCAAAAATAATTTTTCAAAATTTATTACTAAAACTATATTTAAAAACTAAAAAAACAAAACTAAGGGTATGATGATTTAGTTTTGTTTTTAAATTTTTAAAAACAGTTTTAATAATCAACTTTAAGAATCAAGTTTTGAAATAAGTTGAAAAAAGCTTGTTTAACAACTCTAGTTTAAAAATTATTTTAAATGGCATCAATAGTATAGAGTCACAATAGAAGTTAAGAGATGACTTCAACAACTTCACAACAACAAAAACCAGTAATGTAATGCAATTGTTGTTCAAAACGCAAATACTATTAATAAAAACAGAAAACACATTTTTTTCAGTTTTTTGGCTTTCGAATCCACATATGTTTGATAAAAGAAAGAAAAATAAAATCTTCTTTGAGAATAATAAAAAGGAAAGTTGTTCAATTAGAACATTAAAACGTCTCTGAATTATGTTGGGAATATTACTTTATTATCTTTTATTTAAATTAGGTATTAAGAGATTTTATTATCTTTTAAGAGAGAAGATAAGAAGATATTAGGTTATTATTTTGATTTAGGCAGTTATGATTGAGATATTATTAATATTTGATATTTTGTAATATTTTTACTCTATATATACATAGAGTAATAGAAATATACCCACATGATATATCAGAAATACACATGTACAAAATCCTAAAAATTCTCAACAAATTGGTATCAGAGCTTTGGTTCCATACAATGGAAGGAGAAATAAATTTTTCAGAAGTCGTTATTCCAGTTTTTGATGGCGAAAATTATGACTTATGGGCTGTGAGAATGCAATCCTATCTTGAAGGATTGGATGTATGGGAAGCTATAGAAGAAAATTATATTGTTGATCCACTACCTGAAAATCCCACCATAGCTGAAATGAAATTTCACAGAGAAAGAAAAACGAGGAAGGCAAAAGCTAAATCATGTCTGTTTGCTGATGTTTCACAAATGATTCTCACCAGAATCATTACGCTAAAGTCACCCAAAGAAATTTAAGATTATTTGAAAGATCAATATGAAGGGGATGAGAAAATTTGAGGTATGAAAGTTCCAAACTTGATAAGAGAATTTGAGATACAAAAGATGCAAGAGTCTCAAACAATTAATGAATACTCAAACAAATTGTTGGGTATTGCTAACAAAATAAAATTGTTAGGCAAGGAATTTTCTGATTCCAGAATAGTTGAGGAAATTTTGGTAACTGTGCCAGAGAGATATGAAGCATCTATTGCTTCATTGAAAAATACAAAGGATTTGCCTAATATTATTTTGACAGAAGTGCTACATGCTTTACAAGCGCAAGAGAACGAAGATTGATGAGAGGATATCATGTTGCGAAGATTGATGAGAGGATATCATGTTGCTGGTGAAGGTTCTTTACTATATCAGGATGGAGGTTCTCTCCAAGTCAAGAACAACAAAGATACAAAATCACAAGTCTTTTCTGTTTGTCCTTATTGCAAGAAAAATAATCACACACCCAACAAGTGTTGGTGGAGACCTAATGTGAAATGTCGAAAATGTGGTCAATTGGGACATATAGAAAAGATATGCAAATCACAACCAGAAGAAGTCGTCAAGATTATAGAGGATGGAGTAGAATGGGAACTTCTTCAAGTTACAGAGGATGGAGTAGAAGGAGAACTTCTCCTTGCATCAACCTGCTCTACAATAAACAAATCCACAGGTTGGCTTATAGACAGTGGTTGTACAATCCACATGACTCATGATCGAGAACTTTTCAAAGAGCTCAACCAATTACATATTTCTAAAGTGAGAATCGGTAATGGAGAACAAATGGATGTGAAAGGCACGGGAACAATTGCAATTAAAAGTCATTCGGGTATCAAATTGATTTTTTATGTTTTATATGTTCCTGATATTAATCATAATTTGTTAAGTGTCTCTCAATTATTAGAGAAAAGTTATAAGGTGTCTTTTGATCACAAACTTTGTGTGATTAAAGATACAGATAACTTGGAAATATTCAAAGTTCACATGAAAGGAAAAAGTTTCACTTTAGATTTGATAAAAGAAGAGTTGATTACAAACAAAGATATAAAAGAAAAGTCAAAGAAAAAGCATGAAGAAGATTTCTTGAAGAAACTTGATGTTAAAAAGGAAAATAAAGATGTAGATGAAAAAACCGTTTTCAACGTCCATCATAGAGTCAACAATACTACTATGAAGTTTGAAAGAAACAAAGGAGATGAAGTTGATAAAGGAAGAAATATTTTGATAAAAAAAGTGAAGTTGAATGAAGATGTGATCTCGTTCAAGAAAAAAGATGACAAGAAGTATAAACAAAAAAGGAAGAAAAATTATAAGCAAAATAAAAGGAAAAATATCAAATTCAAATAAATAAATATTAAAGTAAGGAGGAATGTTGGGAATATTACTTTATTATCTTTTATTTAAATTAGGTATTAAAAGATTTTATTATCTTTTAAGAGAGAAGATAAAAAAATATTAGGTTATTATTTTGATTTAGGTAGTTACGATTGAGATATTATTAATATTTGATATTTTGTAATATTTATACTCTATATATACATAGAGCACATGAATAGATATATACCCACATGATATATCAGAAATACACATATATAAAATCCTAAAAATTCTCAACAAATTAGTCTTAGTTACTCTTAATTGCAAAGTGAAAAATTGTTTTTAAGAACAATAACAACATACAAGCCCTAAATATTTCGTACCAGCAGTTCAAAATGGAGAGGAAATTAATAGGGATGCCACACTGTATAGGTGGAATGGCTCAAATGGAGAAAATCATTTAATAGTATTTGTGATATGCAAAGCACCAACCAAAGTTCAAGGACAATTTTCTCGTACTACTATGCATCCAATTATACTATGGTATAAATGTTGAGCTTTATAGGAATAACAAGAGAAAATTTAGGAGTGTTTGTGATATGAATCACAAGGGGGTGATTTAGGATCTTTAAGGTTAGAACCTTGTAGGAAATTTAGGAATTTAGTGATAAGGTGGAAGGAAAGAATCACTCTTTCCCAAAAAGGTAACTCACAAAGGATGTGAAAGTCCTTTGATACAGCCAAATGTTCTTGAATCACTCAAGAACTTATGAGAATCACTCTCACTAAGATAAAAGAGATAAACTCTAATATTTCTAAAAATAAAACTCAACTTGTTATTTCTGATAAAAATTGTTCATCTTATAAAGAAGCTTTGCCATCAGAGTTACAAATATTCATTAAAGGAAAATAAATGCTAATAATGATTTATTAACCTAGGAATTGAAACTACTTAATGATTGATTGTAACTGAAATTGTGGCATCCAAAAGTCAATCAGCTATGCACCTCTTGGTCTCCCAAAGGCTGATAACTAAATTTCCAATTGGGTCCTTATTACAACTTGCAATAAAACTAAACTAAAGTTTATTAATTGATTAATCCAAAACACAATTTGGTCAACCAACAATACTTGTTGAAGAACTTCATTTGCTTCCCTTGCTCTAGCTCTTATCATAGGTCATGTTCACATCAGTTTGAGTATATGGTAGAGAGGCATATGAATAAAATCTATGTATGTGCACAACAGAGAAACAAATATATATAGATATCATGATACAAAAAGAGATGGGTTTGGGCCTCTATATTTAGCTATTTCTAACACTTCCTCTCAAGATAGTGCATATAAATCATATGTACCAAATTATTACAAATATAGTCAATTCTACAACCCGTAATGATTGACAAAAAAATAGTCAATCGATCATTGAAATTCACAAATTGATACCACGCCTCATAATTATTTCCATCTAACTTGTCAATGGAGAAAGACACGATGACATAAATTAGTGAAAATAAAAAGATCATGCCTAATAGAAGTTGAAGAGGTCATAAACCCTAGAGGAGAGATAATACAACAATAGGAGAGGGAAAACAATGAGAGAGAACAAAGGGATGATGATTATGCAACTGTGGTGGAGAACAAAGGTGACGACAGGGAAGTATCACTACATTGAGGAAGAAGGTCAAAAATTGAAATAAAACACGATTACTGGAAATTTTTTTTGCCATTGATGGACAGTGGGTCCACGAAGAAGGCACAGGTTAGAGTTTAGGCTAAATGGTAGAGAAATATATGAATGAAATCTTTGTGGGTGCAATATGCACAACAAAGGAACAAATATATATATAGATATCATGATATAAAAAGAGATGGCTTGGACCCCTATATTTCGCTATTTCTAACAAGGAGTATTAAAATTATAATGTTAAGATGGACATGTGGTCATACAGAAAAGGACAAGATACAAAATTATTATATACAAAAGGATATTGATATGGAACTAATTACAGAAAAAAAATATAGAGAATTAGGTAAGGTGATTTGGCCGTGTACAAAGGAGATTGGAAACAATTAAAAGGGTAAGAGGGAGACCAAGGACATATGTAAATAGGACCCATGATATATAATTGTTTTGAACTCAAGTCCACTAACATAGTTAGGGTCAAAACAATGTGGTATTGTCTACTTTGAAATCCGATAACTTTGTTATGGTTTTATTCTAAAAATACACCTTGACGGTGGATTAAGCTAGGAGGATATTTTAACTTTACTTAGTCTCGACTCCTAAGCAATATGAGACTTTTAGATATTCAGGAACAAACCCCCCAATCAAGGCTAACAAGCAAGAGTGTGTCCTAGGGTCTCCTTCTAGTGACAATGTTCCAATCTCAAGTTTGTTGATATCATTAGAGTTCATCACTTCTAAGGTATTGTCCGTTTTAGAATTCGATAATTCCATTACAATTTCATCTTGAAAAGGATATTGGTGGATTAAAGAAAAAAGGTGTATCGGAACAATAATATTTTTGAAGTTTTAGCTTTTAACCAATTTAAAAGACGTTTTTCATGTAACAAATTTCACCTAGTGAAATAAATCTTTTGTTGCTTTACTCGCTGAAATGGTGCTTTTTCTGCAGAAAAAGAAAATAATGTAAACTGGTTTGGCGTTTTCAGGCTTCATATGTTATGCAGCACACATCATTTTTAGATACAAAGAGAAAATATTATATGTTGAAGATTATGAAAATACCACTGAGTGTAAAGTAACTGATGTAAGACAGCGATTATGATTACAATGAAATACTGCTTGGTGCTATTGTGTTGAGTATCATGCACTGTGGGTCCAGCAACAGCACTTGTCAATCTTGTGACATGCCATTTTAAAACTTAATTATCACCTTTACCTGATTTAGGAACTTAAAAGTTGTCTTATGCAATCTTATAGCATAAAGAGCACTAATAATATCACCATATTCTTGTTTTATGCAATCTTATAGCAGAAAAAGCACGGATAAGAGTTGCCTTTATTAATTTTGGCACATCCCTTTCTTCCAACGTGAATGAAGCCATCTTAAAGTAATTTAAGACGCATCATACACATGCCAAAATCCAATCACTTCTTAATCATTTTCATATGTAAAGTAAACCAGTTTTAAATTGGGATTTGTAGGAAAAAGATAAATTATTTTACAAAAAACTGCTGAGAAAAAAAAAATTGAGCAAATTTAGAAGAGATTAATATCAGAAGAAGTGAACGTTGATTTTTCTATGCTATGCTAAAAGAATAAAATAATGACCACCTCGTGCATGATTCAAAACAAGATATCATTATTTTTTATATGGCCAAAGTGAGTAAACTGTGAAAGATATTAATAAGTAAGCAAACTAAATATGTACAATAGAAAATACATTTGAGGAAGACAACACTGGAAGGGGAAATAGACAATCAATATAATAATAGAAAATGTATATAGAAGAGTAAAACATGTTCCACTTAAAGAATTGCATGAACACATGAATAAAGGGCCTAAGTATCAAGGAACATGTGGTCAGAGAACAAGAGTGCAGTCATGCAAGCAACTACGGACCAGTAGTTTCAAATTTCTAGGAACCATCCGTAATACTTCCACTTTGGGTTTTAATCCATTCATTCTGTTGTTCATTCAGTCATCCAAGCATACAATTCTAATTAAGGGTGTTGCATTTGTACATACCAGAACCAGGAGGACCCATTCCGTCCAAGTATCTACAATGTGGATTCCAGGCATACAGATCAACCAAGTGACCAAACCTGTACCAACAAAATATAGGAAACTGAATGAGCACATCCAGCAAAAAAGATAGCCTAACTATTATGAATCGTCAACCAATACCGTAAAGGTCAAGAAATTTTTCAGCTAATCACCTGTCGCCACCATTTCCATTCCCATTGTCCAGGCGATTGCCACCATAAAGCCGTCCCGGAATAGCACTTCCTATGTCAAAGTGCATAATGTCAACTTCATGACCTTTGCAGGTCTTGTTAGTGCACGAGGTTGAATGTTCCTCACAGCCACCCATCTTAAAGCAATCAACACAATCTTTATCACAAAATATGTTTCATAAAAATATTCTAATAAAGGTTCAGGATTACAATTGAAACCAACAAAGACTGCAAAACATGGATAAAATTTGAACAACTTTTCAGTGCATCAACTTACATCATGATAAGAGGCACCGTCTCCAATCTGAAACATGAGAGCAACAGATGGGCATTTTTTGCTTTCACTGCATGGCAAAACAGATGCACCAACCAGACAAAAGCTCGTCATAAATTACCACAAAACAAGATTTATAAAGAATTTAATTTATAAGTAATATTAGTGTAAAACTTTGTTATACAGACTTTATACAGGAACTCACTTACTGACAAAAATCATGTTAATAAATAGGAAAATTTGATAAATTGATCAAATAGTATCAGATGTATAGAGTTTAAATAAAATTCATAATTATATTCTATCTTCTGTTCTTTCCAAACTTATTGGACCCTAACGTATAATTTTAAAACATTATCAACAGAAATAAGTTTGGTTTAGTATTCAAACAAGTTAAACTACGATAGCCAGACGCATAATGGATGAAGGTGTTTCTGCGTGTGACGGCATACTTACCCTTTGGAGTAAGCATAATCACCGTCGACTTGCAATAGAAAGAAGATATCGCGGCCATCATGCACACTCTGCAACAAACAAAGTGAGAAAAATAACAAACAGATAAAATTGGCGAGAGGCAACTGAAGAGAAGGGAGTGCGATACCTTAACGCTCATCTTTCCGCCTTTGAATTCCTTGTCAGCGTCAGGGTCGAGGGCGGGGAGGAGGGGGAAGTAGGACCCATCAATGTCCTTCCAATCGTCGGCGTGGCCATCCAGTGTAATAACGCCGGGTTTGAACTCGGCCTCGACTCGGATCTCGGAGTCGGAGTCGCAGCTCCAGTGGCCCGATTCCTCGTGCGACTCCACCCGGGCTCCCAGGCCCAACAAGAATAGCAGCAAGAGGTAACGAAGCATTGTGGAATGGAGTTAGAAATGGTGATTGAAGAATGAAGGCACGTGTTTGTAGTGAAAGATTTTATAGTTATTGTATATGGTTGACTGTGTGGTGTGGCGGCCGGTGGGGTTGCGAAGGGAGGAAGAGAAAAATGAAGGAAAGATCGCGATTGGCGTGGCGCTTGACTTTTCTGTATGAGAATGCTACTTGATAGAAAAATTTAGTTTTGATCACATAGCATAGCACAAGATTTTCCCCCTTTCACCAGCACTTTCGTTTCACACACCTTCTTCTGCCTTTGGCATCTATCACAACCATCTTCTCGAAACAAATCTCTCATTTTCTCTTATTTTATTAACTCCTACTTCTATAAACAAATTTGCAGTACAATAGCATGTGTACTTGTTCAATTACTCGTACGACAACTATGTTCAATGTTTATATTTATTTTCCAAAATGTTGCCCCTTTTATCTAACAGGAGAAGCTCCTTGTTTGGCAAGGAAATATTCACAAGAATTTGTTTCCTCTAACATATATTTCTACCAATTCTATAAATAAATAGCATCAAATATTAAACATAAACATTTGATTAAAGATAATAAAAACCTTAACTCACTTGGCTAAACCAACACCATAATGCACTTTGTGTGTACAACCATCATATCAATTTAAAAAGTAATATAATAACGTACTATCAATTTATACCAACACCAATCCATTATGTTACGTACTAAGACGTAAATATTTATTTTACCAAGTTTCTTCACATTGCACACAAATAACCCATAAAACATTTATTATTAAAACTATCATACAAGAAGACAATATAGTTTATATAAACTTCCCAAACTTCATATCAAAAAGAGCTATAGAAATGTTAAGTTTGTTTGTATAACGACATTAAAAGTAAATAAATAAAGAACAAAAAGCATGGATGAGATGAGTGACGCAAAAGTAAAATCATTTGAAAGTTCTCTCGTCTTTATGATGTGGTCTTCATCGTTGAAACACACCATGAGGATCGTCGTTAATTAAAATATTATATATGCTTTTTTTGGATTTTAATTATATAATATATTCAGTTTTTCTGTAGCACTTTCGAATGTTTTTATTCGTTCAACCAGTTTGTAAGTGCGCAAGACATTTCCTCGCTGTGAAAGCTTTGTTTCATTCATCTCGTTAAAAAGGTTACAGAAAGTTTCTTACAATGATTTAAAACTTATTATTATTCTTCATGAATGGGGCTGAAGTGACGTAGTGCTGCAATTGATAAAAGTGGTATATTTTGGTGAAAAATAAATAGATAAAGTAAAATATTGAAGATATAATTTTTTTTCTTGTAATTCATTTTTATTGTTCACAGTAAAATATACATAATAAAGAAACGATTAGAAGTAGGATATTAGCTCCTTTTTCTTTTCTTTTTTATAAAACCGATAAGTAGTATAAAAACGTTTTGAAACAAAAAATATAAAATAGAACCAAACAGGCCCAAATATAATGTGGATAGGAACTCGGGTTGGTTTCTGATGGGCCTCATAGAAAAGAAATTCAAAATTAATCAGAATTTAATTAACCTTGTGTTGGTGAGATTTACCAGGCCTTGCTAGGACTAGGATTTTGTTTTTGGGCCTATATAACGTAAAGGACAGTTTTTTCTTTTTCAGGAAAAAAATTTGTAACGAGTATTATTGAACAACATGGTTAAAAAATGGTATCAGTCCATGGAATGCATCCAAAAAACCAGGATGGGCTTGGGCCTGATGATATCTTTATTAAAATGCATAGGCCCATGGATAGAAAACAAAAAGGAAAAGCCATGATGATGATGATGATGTTATAGAGCTCCAATAAAAAGTCAATTGCTAGTTTTGAAGGATAGAAAATGATAGTTAAGGAGAGAGTGAGAAATAGAGTTAAAATGTATTGATTTAGAAGGTAGGAGCTATGATATAGGATGTAGTTGTGATTTATGATTGAGATTAGATTATAAATGTTAAGATTTGTATTTTGAAAGCATGGGGCATTTGTGGTAAGAATTGGTAGGTCCGGAGCTCTACCTAAAAGTGTTTTTCTCCAAAAGGGAAATGTAAAATATTAAGAAATCGTTAATTATTATTTTTGAAGGGAGAAGAAGAGAAGTGTTGGGTGGTGAGGTGAATAAAAGTGAATGTAGGCTTAACAAATTTAGGTGTTGACAAGATCACATGATCACTCTTTCTCATGATCCGTGTTTGTATTATCTAATCTTTATCACTAAAAGCCATGAATTTGGAACATTTCCAACGCCATTCTGCATTTCAAGTGGGACTCACACAACCATTATGATATCTTTAATGGCCATTAGATAATAATACTATGTCAAACCAATCAAAGTGCTTCTTCATTTCATCACCAAGGTAAAAAGGGAAAATATTCCCCACACCCATATCATTTACAGTACAACTTATGTTAATATTACTATGTCTGCTTATCTTAATGCTATTACTACTATTATTATTTTTTTCCACCAAGAAAAAGACGAAAATGTATTTCCAAATAGCTAATTACAAACCTATCAGAAAATGAAATGGCATGCCAGTTCATTAATTGATGTTGATGATGATGGAGGGATACTTGTACCCTAGTTTCCATATCTTTTGAACTTCGAATCAGAGCTAGTGTGGGAATTGGAAGATACCGTTTGGGATTAAGAATTTCTGCTGAAAAATATTCCGTTTAATAAAAGGTGTCGGTAGGCACCATTGACTACGGAAATATAGAGAGAGAAAGAGAGAGACTTATGAGGAAGACTGCGAAGGGTGTGGAAGAGTTGATAGAATAAGGAAGAAAAAGGAGATAATTACTGTGAGTATTAAAAAAAATGATGGATCTTTGGGAAGCAAAATATATTTTATATGTTAAGTTGAGAGGGGGGGTTGAATTTGAACGGTGAGAATAAAGGCAGTGTTAAATGGTTTTTTATTTTGACTTGACTCCATGTGGAGGGAGCAGCTTAGGGTTTGAAAACTCATCCAAACGCCAAAATAATTTAAAAAAATGGTGTTTCTTGTCAAAGAAAAGAGGAAGCTTCATGGGGACTCACGAGTAGGATTTGTTTGGCTAAATGCCGGAGCTTCTCTTGCCTTAAATTATGTCAATCTTCTAGAAAGTGTTGTTCCCACAGATTGAGAGGGAAAAGAATAAAGATTTGGTTGATTCTTTTTTAAATTGGGTGATGAAAAAGGATGAGTTGAGCACTCGAAGAGGGTGATTTGTGATGAAAAGTAACGGTTGGGTGGGGTAAGAAATCTTGAATCAAATATACATGAATCATGAGGGTTTGAGCAACCACTACTAATGCCACCAATTAACCATTTTTATTTTTTCAGCTTATGACCCCCCAATAATGGAGCTCCTGTAACTTGTCACAACACCAACCCAAAGGGTACGTCTTCCACCCTACCATTTTTTGTTATATTCTATTTGTTTTCCTTTCTTTTTTAATACTACAAAAGATCATTTCTATAAAGTGCTACCTACCCAACACCAATAACAAGAGGTTTTGTCACCTTATTATTCTCACATTATTTTCACTTTTCATTTCAAGCGAATTTTAAATATTTATTTTTCAAATTAATCTATCCAACACACGGGAATTACGAATGGAAACTGCAATCAAGAAAAAGAATGCAAGGAGCTAATTTTTGAATAAATAATGGGGGGGGGGGGGGTTGTAGGCATCCTCACATGCAATTGAGAAGAAGAAAGGAAATAAAGATTAAAAAAGAAAGATTAGGTTTTACGATGCAGGTGGACGTGGCATGCAACAACTGCACTGCATTGCAAAGAGAGAGATAAATAATATAATAAAATAGAATAAAATAAAAAGTGGAAATAATATTTATAGAAAAATAGAAATTGAGGGATAAGTAGCGTGGACCAGTGACAGTGGTCAATTCTAGGGTTGGGGGACCTCCCGCTGCTGCTGCATATTGGGCTTGTGAGAGAAGACGGTGGCGTATCGCGACAAGACAAAATTTGTTTTTTATTATTTTATTTCTTTGTTTTGTCCCTACCTTGAGCTCCCCAAACGTATCCCACAAGCAACCAACCCCAATCAAACACAGTCCCAGATTGATACTCTTGTTTTTATATATGTGCCAAACCAATTATTTATCCCTCAATCACCGTAACACAAATCAAAACCCCCGCCCCAGGAACAAGCTCGATCAAATTCCAAACTAATCATCATACTTACCATGTCTTACTTGGGAACAATGTTTCAGCGTAGGAAGTAAAGAATAATTTACACTAGGTTTGTTACATGTGAATTTTAACTAAAAAGGCACTCCACTTCACTTTACAATTTTATTATCTTCGCCCAGTTTCATCTTCATTGACCTGAAATAGAATTAAAACTAAAATAATATATAAATATTTTTGTAACCAAGTAAAACGTTTTTAAAAATAAAATTATGATAAATTAAAACATAAATTTCTTAAATACGACAATTGAGTCTGATTATATTATTATAATAAAATGAATGTTCGATTATTTGTTTATTTTTAGGTAAAATGTGTTTCTTTTAAAAAAATTATAATAGATAAAACTTTAAAATGAATAATATCTAAGAAATAATAATTAATTTTAATTTCTGAAATATTTATTTATGTTAAAAATATTGATTCAGTTTTCAATATAGGTACGAAAGAGATAATAAGAAAACGAAAAAAAATTCTATAACTTCATTTATTTTTTTTCAAGACAAATAATTTTGAGCAAAACGTTGTTATATTGAAACTAAAGAATGTGATTTGAATAAGCCTTACAATTAAATAGTTCTACTAGATATAATTTTATTCACCACCATGTAATATGATCCTTATTTGTGTACAAGAGAGCATCGATTCATCTATCACTTAAGAAGTATTATGATGGAAATATTAAATTCAAATTTCATCTATACTTAAAATGAAATAATTCATCATAACATTTTTCTTCTATATTAATACTTATATATATATACAAAAATATAA